GTAGGGGGTGATGTTGCTGTAGTCGAACGGTGAGACGGACGTGTAGTTCAGTTTTGGGCACGCGTACGGTGCTGCAGGGATTATATATAGGTGTAGTAGTACCTCTTCGGGCTCTTCTTGTACACCTTTTTCTTGCTACGTGTGCGTGTTCTTTAGATCCTCAGATGGCTCCAGCACTTTCGTGACCACGGGCCGAGAGTCTTTGCTAGATTTTGGCATTTAGCAACTGGCATACGGTTTAATGTGAAGTCAACAACAACAACAACAACAACAACAACAACAACAACAACAACAACAACAAAGTACAAATTTTCCGAAATTCAGGAACTGGTACGGAGGCGTTCGTCCAAATATATTAAAAAAATTCGGAACGAACCTGGGCGGTTCCAAATTTTCCAAATGTATTGGAGCATCACAGCAAACCCAGCAGCTAAAGGACCTACAGGGCCAACTACAAGGGAGAAGCAGCGGCGGAGGGTACTTGGATAGCGGCAGGGCCATGGCGGACCGCAGGAAACGCGGCGCGCCTCTTGGTTCGCCGTGTACTGGCCCACCGAGCCAACGATTCAGGCGTGCATCCGGTCGCCAAGAGCTGGTGCGGCAGATGAAAGCAGCTGCTGCTGCGGTGATTCTGGTGCTGAGCGCGGCGGCAGTGGTCACCTCTGTAGCTGTGCACGCTAGCGCTAACAAGACGCGTGCGGCTATCCACGAGTCACGGCGCCTGATTTGGGAGGATCACGCTGCTGACCTCAAGAAGCGGAAGCTCTTCCGGAGGATGTATCGCATGGAGGAACCGGTGTTCAAGAAACTGGCTGGGTTGCTGGAACCGATCCTCCAATGGAACGACTACTACGCAAATGAGAATAGAGAGAGGGCGGGAGGGAGAGATGGGGGGGCGGGGGGGCAGGGAGAGAGAGAGTGTGTGTGATTGACGTACGAGGCGCAGAACTCATGCCGTGGTGTTTTTCCCGTCCTTCCGTTTGTTGCTGATGCTGAAGTGTAGCATTGCAGAAGACCACGGTTGGTGTACTTGGTTGAGCCGTTCGGTTCCAAATATTTGGCGCCAAAAAATTGGAAATTTGGAACAAAAATTTGCAGCCTTGTGGAGCTGGTTCGTAGGCCCCCGGGGCCAAAGCTGCGAACTAGACACCGCGAGCATTTCGTCTTGTGGTTTGCAGAGCAGAGGTTTGGGAGACTGTTGGGTTGCGCGGCGGTGGCACATGCATGCGAGGCTACGCGAACGGGGCCCCGGTGAAGAGTGACATGGGAGGAGCGGTGTAATCATGTGTGTAGATTGAGCTCCCATCATCACTGCACATGTATAGGTTACACACACCACGATGATTCAACATCCCTCCCGGGTAGAGTAGACCGCACATGGCTCTTCTCTAGAACCCGGAGCTTGTCTAATGGTACCGTTCGGCTATTCGGCAGGCAGCCAATGCGAACACATCAACGGTGCATAAACTAAAATGGACTATTGCTACAAGTATGCTCATAAAACCGCCCGTTTCGACATGGTTCTTGTGAGAAAGAATTGAGTAGTAGCGTACAGGAACACCGTGCGGGCCGCTGAGTGCTGCAAGTGGTGGTTCGACTATCCCTCCCCTCCCAGGCGTGGCAACATGAACTGACAGGGTGGACACTTGCAAGGTTCAATCAACTGGTGATCACCTCGCTCAAGTGTAGAGATAAAACAATTATTGCGGTTGTGGATCCGGACACGTAACGTCAAGCAATAATTCGAAGAACCAAGAAGTCCAGCGATGCCAACGATTCACTTCGCAGCCTGACAGATACGCCCGGGAGGAGCCCCAGCAGTACCACCGAATGCAACGTTGCAGGTTCTCGTCCTGGGCCCCGCTGCCACACAAGCAACTACCCGGTGCAAACCTCTTTTCTCGCTCGCCGGCCGAAGGTACAGCAGTCGAATCGAGGAGAATACCGACTACAATACTGTAGCTAGTTGTCTTCAAACTTTTCTGCAATAGTTGTCTTCCAACTTTTCTGCAATACTCGAACGTGTTCTGTCGTTAATACGCATCATAAGAGTCCATGCAACAGAAAAGGAGCCCATGTCTTTGACAATAGACCTCGTGTTGCCCTGTTTTCGGGCTGGGGCGGCTTATTTGTGCACTGGTGTAGTGGCAGCTCATCTAAAAACCTTCTTTGACAACCAACATTTTCTGGGCGCATTTGCACATCACGGCAAAAAACAAACACAACCTCAGACGCCGCTCTTCGCGGAGACGAGAGGGGTCGAAGCATCAGCATCCCTCAGCCTCAACAAAGCCATACTTAGAAGGCAACACCTCCGGCAATCGAGGCTTAAAAAGCGCTGCATGACGCACCAAACCTCTGTTGGAGAAGAGTAGGAGGTTGCATTCGCCTGCCTGATACACGTACGCCTAAACCTTCTTCACGATCTGCACTACGTCTTCGTCGTTGAGGCGGTGGTCCTTGCCCGTCTTCATTGGCTGGTGCTTCACGGAGGACCCCCACACCCATGCGTACTTAAGGTGCGGCAAAATATCCTGGCCACAAAAAAACAAAACAAAACGGAGGGCACGGGGATTGGAGAGCATACGGATGAAAAAAACGTGCGGAAAACCGCGGAGTGCTATCCATGGTCGTGGACAAATACTCCTGTAGTGATGGCTTGGTCAGAGAGGACGGTTTTGGGACGCAAATCAACTGGCACGAGCTCAAGGCACGGACGAACGTGAGGGCCCTCAAGGATGGAGGCGGCACACACAACCGGAAAAAAAAAAGAAGTGGAAGAGGGTAACGTGCACTATTGTAGAAGCTCCACACTTGAAAACAGCAACAACGAAACCGCATTTGTTACAATACTTCAGCAGACAGCGACCGTTGTACTGCTGTTGAGCTTGCGGTATAATAGAGCGGTACAAGAAGCCACGACAAACTTTCTCCGGCTAGCTGCGTGTGCATTGATCCCAAAGAACAAGACTGGCGTCGCTCAGGGGTCAATGAAAAAGCCACCACAAGGAGGCCTTCTGATCGAAAACAGCAGAGCGCAGAATGGATGACACAACCCGAGAAAAGTCTACAACATTGACATGAACACTCGTCCTGGTAGCCGGCTGAAAACACTGCTGGACCCAAGGGTATCGCGGACACTCTCGTCAAACATAGCAGACGGAACATCAGCCAATATTCAAAGCACAAAATCGCAGAGGTAAAGTCACCTTGTGTATCCGGTTGCAGAACATCTCGAGGGACGGGTTGGTGTCGTGGAGGATGACGGGCTCGTTGTAGTCCGGGATCTGGCCCTTTGGCTTGGTGTAGATGCGGATCATGTTGCAGTAGTCCCATACCTTCTCCAGAAGCTGCGGCCATGGGGTAGGAAGGCGCGTGGGGAGTGAGGAGCGGGCAAAGGTGTGTACGGCAAATGGACAGCGTGCGCGCGAAGGTGGGGCTCCGCAGTCGCAGATAAGTAACACGTCGCATAGTCCTACGCCAGCACCAGCGAGCAGAGCATCGAGAAAGCAGTCGCTGGACCGCTGGTAAGACGCCGCGAAAGTGGCGTGTCGTGGGCGGACATACGAAGGAACGACTGAAACAAGTTATTCGTTTGACACAAGAGAGAGAAAAGCATGCGCCTATAAAACAAGAAAAACGCAGTCGTATATTGCGTGAACAACAGAAAACAGAAACAAAGCACAAAGCCAGCACGATGAGAAAAAAACAAAAACACGACCCAATTGTGAAGAAAAGTAAAAAAGGCGCGCATCTTGCCAGACGAAAAGTTCGTACAGCAGTATGGTGCGACAGAAAAAGGGGGAAAAAACACATGAACATTCCAGTGCGGCAAAGAGAAGGAGAAACAACATCATGACCCAAGTCGTGGTTTGTGAAAAAAAAAGTGCACGTCTTCGAAGAACACAAAACAGTCGTACAGTACGGTGCAACAGAAAAAGTGAACAAAGAGCTGAGCATCTTTCGGTGTGACAGGGAAAAGGAGAAAGAACAAACACGGACCTCGTCGATGTTCCAACCGTGGGCCGCAGAAACCACCACGTGGTGCGGTATTTGACAGATGATGTCCAGCTCTTCGATCGTCACCTGGGGGACGAAGGGAGCAAAGCAGACGAAAATATTTTTTCCACGATGGCATCCATCGAGACAAAACAGACAGGCGGTTAGAGGGGGGGGAGTGTACTCATAGTCGTGCATGCCGTAGTCGTTAGACCATTGACCTCGCATCCCTTCAAAGCCGGGACGGAGCACGCCGGGTTCTCACCGGACCAGGCTCTCA